GATAAATAACATAATACAAATATACCAAGACAGCAGGGAATTAAGCAGTGACCCTAAAAGGAAAAATCAGAACAGGCAAAACAAGTAAGAAGAATACTTTTCTTATACAGAGTTCGCCATCTGATTCAATTATATTCACAGCCAAAAAGTAATCTCTTGTTAACTCTATAGTTAATTCTATTAAAGCTGTAGATCTTGCAAATATCCAACAGTATTTGCACCCAGATTGATCTCCCCCAGTGGAGCAAATAAAGTGCAGGGGAGGTGCTGAAGGCAGAGGAAATACGTCAGTTCTACTCCTGTGCTGCTCATTGACTTCAGACTTTCCCAATGGGATTTGATGTATTCTTTCTTTGGGTCCAGCTTGGCTGAATCAATTAAGTATCTCTCTCTCTCTCCTCTCTCTATTCTCCCATGGCTGAAACATCATCTAATTTGGATGAAGCTTGAGGCAAACTCAGTTCCTTTCTTGAAGAATAAATACTCTTGGGCTCTGGGTTTTAGGAAGCATTGGACTTGATATATATCTACTTATCTAAGTCTTGTTTTGGCTGCTTGGATGTGCTCCGGGGATGCAGATGCAGATCTTGTATAGTTCTGGCAGATCCTTACTGACAGAAGCCTCTCTGGAGCTGGTCTTGGGATGACATACTTCTTGCAGAGGATAGCATGCTCTGTATTTCAGGGCTCTGCAAAACTAAATTCAGGTCTGGCAATCATGCAGCAGTAAACAATTTTGTAATTTGATTTTCTTAAACATGTTTTTAGCAATGATAGATTCACTACACTCCAGCTGGAACCTGACATAACTAATGCCAAAGTGTTTGCATGCTTAACTGCATTATTTCTGGAGCACATTTAGAGGGCAGTTGATGTCGTCCAGGAGAAGGATTGTAGCTGAGACCATGGTGTGTGACAAAGAAGCCCAGCTCTCAGACCGAATGTTCCAGGATCTGTTCCAGACCCCTGGAGAAGGAGGGTCTTAGGGGAAGCTACAACACTGAGAAGAGATCCTGTTGGCCCAGGGCTCAGTAGAGCAGGAACACTTCACCTTCATCATCATATTTAATTGATTGATTGATTGATTGATTAATTAATTAATTAATTAATTTGTAAAGCTGCCCATCTCACCTAAAAGTGACTGTGGGTGGCATCATAACCCTCCTCTGTTTCATACAACTCAAGGCACTGTATATCATGCTCCTGCAGCTATTTTCCCTGCAACAATGAGAAAACTGGCCACGGAGGGTGCAGGTGCTGCTTAGGGTCCTTTGCAGACTTTCTCTTTGTCTGCAGCCTCCACAAATGTGAGGATCACACAGAGGTGAAGGACAGAGCCTGCAGCCACTCCGCCCCCTCCCCTGATGACCAGTGGAATGGGGGCAGACTTGTCTCTCTTCACAAACCAATCCCAAATGCAACCTTTAAACTTTCAAAAAGGGGACCTGGTGGGTTTTCCCATTCCATACATGACATAAAAGTCAGTAGGTAAGCTTGTGTAAAATGCAGGTCTCATTTTTAAAAGAGGACTCTTTATAGCAGAATTTTTAAATGGTCCAATTTAAATAATTTGGTTTCGTTTTTTAAAAAATATGTTGATTCATAATTATATTTCCCTACACTTGCTTGTAGTTTATTAAGAAGTTTTACAATGAAACCTGGGAAAGAAGATATAACCAGTCAATCACTGAACAGTCACTTACCTTGTTGTGGACTTTATCTGTGTCTGTTTTTGCTATTGGCGGACTTGTGGGTGCATTAATCGTTACTCCAGCTGTCAAGTATTTTGGTCGGTAAGCATCATACTAAAAAGTTTGTGCTATACAATATTTTTTTCTTTTAATGTAGACAAAAAAGTGCTCCTCTAGCTGACAATATTATGGCATCTGCAGTTTAAAGTTCTAAATAAGATACTTCCCATGATAAAACAATTGTGATTAATAGCAAGTAATAATGTATGCAATATAACTTTGTATAAATTGGGTAGGGGTTTTGAAAAAAGAAAAGTCTTGTCCTGCTTTTAAAAATACTGTTTAGGAGGCGCTATCACAGTTTGTGCCATCTAGTGGTCATCCAGAGTTTGGCAGTCCAATTATAGTAGTCCTATCTGTGACAAAATTGTCTTATTTATTTCTGGATAAACTCAACAAATATGTTCTGACGTTTGAAACTCCTTAACCCTTAATCCTCCTCAAACTGAGTTCAGGAGAATTAGTTTATGTCCTAGCCCAGGAGCAGGCAGTTGGATGTCCATGAGAACGGTTGTGGCTTCAGACATGTCCTTTTGTACTCACTAAGCTCTATTCTCACCTGTCCTTTTAGACCAGGAAGATAGAATGTTACCAACCCGAGCATCAGCCACCATCCCTATTTTCAAGAATAGCTCTGAACCTTAAGAGTAGGGTTAAAAGTTGGTAACAAGACTATATTTTGGCATTGGTAGTAAGAGCCCTTGAAACTTGATCCATGTTCCCAAGTGGCAAGGGCAAAAGTATGCCACAGCTGGGAAAATGCAAGCAGTCTTCTGCATACTACCAGTTTTAGCCAGTCACTAATACACTTCTCCCCTCACACTTTATCCACCAACTAAATTGTTTTGGAGAGGCTACCATGGAAGACATCAAACCCCTCATAAGAAGTTGCTACTTAGAGTGAAGTTGTACTCCTAACCATCTCCTGGATTTATTCTTTAGACATGCACTGCCTGTGCTTACAATGGCAACCATGGAAGACAGCAACTTGAGCAAATCTAGATCTACCATCAATCCACATCTCCACATCACTCCCAGATATCAGTAACATAAAGGAATGGGTTTACAAATGCCAGCTGCTGTACTCATTCTCCTGGGACACCATCTGAATCTTGATAATTGTATGCCACCTCCCCCATGGTATCAAAGAAGTATTTTAGCCTCCCCCAGCATTGTATTTGATTCAGATGTGGAAACAAAATGAAATTTCATGTACTTGATGCAAGAGAGAGTTGTGCATGAATTGGCCAGGTTCACTCTCCTGCCTTCTTGCAGCTCAAGGTCTTCTTGTGGACACTGAAATTCATAGCTCAGCAGCAGCAGCAGCAGCAGCAGCAGCAGCAGCAGCTCTATGAAGTTAGGCAAATCTCTTCCTCAGAGGAGGCAGAAAGGACTTCTTTGAGAGTATTGGTGGGACTGAGAAATAGAGCAATCCATCCCCCAATAAAATAATGCTCCCACTGCTGCTACATGTTCCCTGGAAGAGTCAGTGCAAGATTTCCCCTTAAATATTGGGTATGGTAGGATCTAGCTGCTGTTGTCCAACTGACCACGGAGCCCATTCCCACCTCCTACATCTGTTTGCATGTGTGGCATGCAAGGATGGCAGATTACTTTGCGGTAATACCTGTAGTTGCAAGAATGCAGTCTTGTGGAGCAGTTGGTATTCCTGAAACTAAACCTTCTAATCCATTGCTTTACATCCAAAATACCTTAAAGGGAGCATCAGCCACCAGTCAGCTTTGCTTTACTCTTTCTACAGTTTTGTTTTTCTTCTTGTTTATTTTGGATTAATATGATTTGCTTTGGATTTCTATTCCATCCTGCATTTATTATGTGACGTATCTCAGGCTGAATAATACTGGCCTGCTTCCTTTAGTTCTCAAGTCATCTTGAACCTCCAATGCTCCTGAACACCTTTGTGAATATAGACATTTGCTTCTTCTGACTGGCAAGGCATTCTGGTCCAAGCTAACAAATTTAGACACTTTTTTTAAAAATGAGAATGTAAAGGATTGAAATGTCCTGCACCAATTTATGTGACATTTGGCTTTCTTCTTTTATTCATAAAACTTAAAATCACAAGAGAGAGAGAATTATGGAAAAACAAAAAAGAGTTATAGCCATTCTATGCATTCACGGGAGAACTGAGCATCAATTTTGTTGAATCCTGCTCAGGGTTAGAGACCTGCCAGAGTGACCTGTACTAGATTGGGCCCTTGTTAAAGACTTAGATTGATACAGACAAAACGGAAGCAAAGCACATTGTGGTTTAGTGAGTCATTTGAAAACAGTCTGTATTCAAACATTGTTCAAATCTTCACAGCTCTGGGGCTACAAGTTGTCCAACCTAATTTAAGACAAAATATGAAGAGACTCCCTGGCAAGAGAGTTACAGAGATTCCTTTAGATCCATGGTATTTTTGTCTTGTGATTTTGAAAGATCTTTATCCTATCTATGGGTTTTTGTTTTTTTGCGGGGGGAATACAGGAATGGTTTACTATTGCCGTCCCTTGTGAGGTTTGAAGGATATTTGTTTACCCTTAATTTTGGCCTTATGGATGTACCTTCAACTTATTCCATCTGTAGTGATAACCTTTAATTACACTGCTTTATCAAAAGCTGTTTATCTGGCACTGTAAGGATGTAATAAATAATTTGTTTCTTTTCAGAAAGCGAACCCTGCTGCTAAATAATGTGTTTGCCATTGTGGCTGCATTGTTGATGGCCTTCTCACAGATGGCAGGAATCTTGGAAATGATTATTCTGGGCCGATTCATAATGGGCATTGATGGAGGTATGACTTAATTTGTGCTAGATACAGATATGTAGTGAAAGTTCTGCAATCCCTGCTTTCTGGCCTTTTGGCATCTCAGCTGAACTAGCTGAACCTCAAAAATAGGCTGAATTTTTACAAATAAGAAATAGTAAGAGTCAAGCTTTTTGATGTGCTATCTTTAATACGTTAAGCCTTTAGTCTTCACAAGATCAGAAGCCCTTTTGAAATCTTATCATTCTACCTAATAATTATTTACTTGTTGACTAATCCTAATTAATTAATCCCATACATGCATACTTCCCAACTGTTGCATTAAATCATACATTACAGTAAAATAGCAGAGCCACAATTCAATAAAATAACAATATATGGGAACGTATAGCTGGGTATAGCACTGGGAATCCGGTCCCTTCAACAGCACCAAACAAAAGACAGAACATGGAAGACCACCCCAGTTCCCGAGGCCTCATGAAATAGACATGCTTTAATAGGATCCCTAAAAAACAGGAGAGAGGAGACCATCTGGATATCTGGAGGGGAGTATTATTCCATAAGGGGGGGCACTGATTAAGATTTCTTCTTGCTTCTGTGATTTCTGAAAATGGCAGTCCTAGAGCAAAGGAACAAGGAGTGAGCCCACCTTGCTAGACATTCCTGGGTGGGCAGAAAGAACAGGGAGAAGGCAGTCCTGCAGATGCCCAGGTCCCGAACAAGGGACTGCTGGCACCTTGAATTATACCTGGAAGCCAACTGGCAACCAGTGCAGCCCTCAAAGTGGTGGTGTTATGGGGCAAATTGGGAGATGCTGGTAACTTCTGAAGCTGTGGCATTCTGGACCAGCTGTAGGGTCTTGTGCCACTTAATGCACAACAGAAAACAAGTTGCCATTTCACAAACTTTCTAATAGCTGTAGATGGACAAGAAAAGATAATGGTGCACAAATTCCTTATCCATCAAACATTAAGATCTAGAGGACATGATCATTGTTAACTTGTTCATGAAATGATGAATTTGCTAAATTACAGTGATGGGAACTTGATTGTGTTATAAGGGAGAACAGGGAGACCTGTTTCTAGGAACTGATTACATATCGAATAGGTAATAAATGCCGATTGAAGAAAAGATTCTCCCAGAAGCATGGGCTTTGTATTTCAGTAGGATCTATTGACATCTAGTGTGGGATGTCAGTGGGTCGCTAGGTGAGCATCAGTGCAATTCTCAGTTGCCAGTTAACTGCTTCAGGGGCCTCTATAAGGCTCCAATTAAAAATAAGACTCCTGAAAAGTGTATCAGTTGCTATACCAAAACAGCTGGCCAAACTGTTTTCCTGTGTTTAACAAATGGGAATTTTTTCAGAGAGCTATAGGTTGGGTATAGGAAAATACATGTTGTGTATGCATGTGTGCATGAGATAAACAAGATCCCAAGAATTAGTAACCATGGATATTATAAGACTAATGGAATTATTAGGTTTTAGGAAGGATAGGAACAGCTCAACCATTGCCAGATTTTATTTTATCTTGCCTTCAAATATGTGAAGAGTACTACCGAAGGTTTGTATGTGTCATATGTGGAGTTGGCTGCTACCTTTGAATGAACAAACAGAAGCAGGTTATTGATAAAATTAACTGATACTGAAGCATCTACTGTATTTAGTGCAGCAGTCATATTGTATACAGTAGAAAGAGTAGGTTTATCTAGATTGCTGACAGAACTTTAACAACAAGACAAAATAAAGGCCATGTATTTGCACTTATATTGTTTACTGTTTATATAAATTTGGTAACATCTTATTTGCCAGCTCTGTATTCAATGTATACAGCTACCCATCTTTAGGCAGCTATCAATGATTAAAAACAAGATAAAGCATTATAATAAGCCAATCAAGGACATACTGTATATGGCAGCCAAGATAAAAGACCAGCCAACAGAACATTTAACACATCCATGATATGGGTTCAACCACAAACTCAGGGCCCCAGTTTGGTAACAAAATCAGGTCTTCGAGGCCTTGGGAAAGGTCAGCAGGGTCAGGGCCAATCTGATCTCTGGGGGGATGATGTTTCAGAGGGCAGAGGCCACCACAGAAAATGCTCTCCTCCAGGGATTGCCAGATGACACTCCCTAATGGATGGGACCCGGAGCAGGCCTCTCTTGCTAGTTTTAACAGGATGGGGAGATACAACCAGGGAGAAAAGTCCAACAAGCAACTTGGCCCCATCTTAAAATTTCTGAAAGAAAAATTCACACATGGGCAACGCTGTCCCTTATACCTTGCCTTCACTGACTTAAAATTAGCCTTCAGTTCTGTTCCAATGGTTGCTCAACAGCTACTCTAATTAGGATGCTGTATGAGAATTCAGACACTCAGATGTGATAGAGCTGGCAGCTCTATTGCAGATCTTCCAATCCATTGAGGAGTGAAGCAGGATTGTATTCTAGTTCCCCCACTGTTTAATATCTATGTGAATTCAGTGATAGATGTCTTAATCAAAAAGAAAATCTTCCTTCCTAAACTCAGCAACAGGCGCTTGCAATATTGCTCTAAGGCAAGGATGCAGCAGTTCATTCATTTACACAGATGGGCCTCAGGAGAAATCTGCCAGCCTGAGCAGAATTCCATAAGGGAGAAGGGCATGCAAGCACTCACTCTTAAGACCCAAACTATGGTTTTCTCAGGAAGACTCAGTTGCCACAAATATCAGTGGCAAACTGGAAATAATAAACTTGAGCAAGTTTCAGCTTTTAAATACCTTGGCATAATTTTTTCATGCCCCTGGAGCTTGGTAGGAACAAATTAGAGCCCTTTCTGCCAAAGCAACAACATTGCCAAGGCAATTTTGGTTTTTTCCACTCCAAAGGCGGCAGATGCATGCCTGTTGCCATCGGGCTTTTTAAAGATTAAACTACATTCCAAATGCTGTATGGTGCACAATATGTACCTACAGTGCTCTTTTCCTTTTGCACTGCAGTGTTTATGTGGAGACATACTGTACTTTCATCACTTCCTAACAAAAACCACATAGGTTATGAGGGGGAGGTGGTTAGTTTCCTACTCAGAGACCAGAATTCTACAGTCACCATTAGAGTTGCTAAGTTTCTATCTGCAGGGATTTCCATAAAAAGGCATAAGATGTCCAATTTGGTGTGATGACATTGTGAAATCTTTGTCTTTTCTTTTTATGATTCTATTGGTTTTATGTTTTACTCTATCTTACTCATTTTCACCCTTTCTCTATTTTTAGGTTTTATGCTATTGTTACACTATTTATGTTATATTTGGTTGTTGCTTCTGTATTTTTACCTTGCTCTTGTCTAATTAAACACAATTTTCAGTGGAATGAAAGGAGTTGCAATAGTTGTTTTATAATTTGGTTGCTAGGAGACATAGGAACCTTATGGTGACAACTTGGTTCTTGCAGGAAGTATTTACTGTAGTTAGTATAATTTTCAACTAAGTCTGACAAGCATTCACAGTTTAAAAAATGCAAATTATGGCTTCAGCAGTGTTTAAGGGTAGGTATCAGCAAATTCCTGTTGTGCAAATACCTTTGTAGTCATCCTCAGATTGAGGATTTATTGCATCACCTTTTACATTCCCCGTTATACCCATTAGTCTGTATAATGTAAAAAGGACATTAAAAAAAGATGGGCAATCTTTCAGTTCAGTTTGAATGAAGAAAAATAGGTTTTTCTTTGATGAAGGTATGTCACAGAGTATAGCCCTATTTGCCCTAAAAAGTTAAATCGTGTTGTTTTGGAAAAATCCTGCCTACTTATAAGGAACCAAAGCAACTAGAAACCTGCAACAGGTTTGTTTACTGAGCATTCAAAGAATAGAGCAATCACTGGGTGATTGGGTCAAGAGATGCCAAGAGCTTTGAGCAATCTACACACAGGATTATATAAGAAATGGAGGATACGTAAAGTCCTGAGTAATGAAGTAAAGACTACGACTAAATAAGGTAGCCTTTAACCTGAAGGGCCGGGCAGGTTGAGGCTGCTCCAGGATGAGCCTTTCTGCCCACATCAAGGTATCCCAGCATAAACAATCAGCATCTGGCTGCCCATTGGCATTGCAACAGAATTTCCTTCTTCACGATTCTCCCAGGAAAAGCAAGTCTGAATTCTGTTATCGGTCTCCTTCAGCCGTGGGCCCAGGGCCCCGATCTGCAGCGATAACCTTTCCGCAGTGAGTCACATAGAGTGGTCACGTGATCCATTTAGGAATTTGCCTCAAGGAAAAACCTTGCCTACTGCAGTGGAACTGCATACTACACAAACCATAGGTCCCAAATTCCTCTACAATATGGATATTACATGTAAATAGATGTTGGACCATTATTAAATTAAGATTTCCTCTTTTAATTTTATTTTAATGTTTTGTAATGTGTGAGAGGGTTACAAACCACAGACCAGGAGGGTGAATGCTTTTCTTTTGATATGTACACAAAGTTGCTTCATTATATAAGAGACACACTTCTAATGTGTTAAACCTGATATATACAACTAATCTACTTATCTGTGCCTAATATATTTATAAGGGACAATGCTATAGCTGTAAGTGACAAGTGACAATCCTTAACCAAGTTACAACTTTCCTTCCTGCCCTGGGTTCTCAAATGCCCAGCTTTCCTAGCATAAAGGCAGCATTGCCACAGTGCTTTCCCAGTGCCCCCCTTTAAGGATTGGGAATTCAGCTCCTTTTTCCCAAAGCTTAAAATCCTCAAGTTACAGTGGCAATTGGGACTGGAATTTCCATCACTAAGCAATGCAGTTGTAAAGCACAACATCACATGACCACATTGCTTAGTGATGGCAATCCTGGCAGTCCCAGTTGCCATCGTAACCCCAGGTCATTAGGCGGGAAGAGGCAGGAGTCCCAGGCAAGCAGGCCAGCAGGTGTGCAGGTGCCACAAGGGGCGTTGCAGGCAGGCACTCTGGAGCACAGGCAAATGCTATGAGAGGCAAGGGTTATTGCTGGCAGGCCCTAGGAAGCACAGGTAGACAAAAAAGCGGCAGGAGCGACTTCCAACTGGCTTCCCCATTGACTTTGCTTGTGGGAAGCCGGCAGGGAATGTCAGAAATTGCAATCGCATGACCACAGCTCGCTGCAACATTGTAATCACAAGGTTGTAAATCACCTCATTCAGCACCATCGTAACTTTGAACAGTTGCTGGACAATTGGTCCTAACTCAAGGATTACCTGTATTATCCTCCACTTTCCAGCCCCTGTACTTCAGTAGGTCTTGCTGGAAGTTGAAGTAGCCTTTGACTGTGTTGCTTCTCTGTCTCTTGGTCCTTACCAGCTTGGAGGAGGGAGAAAACAATTACTTGTTGCTGGCTGTAGCTGGTCTGTGTCTTTGGAAGCCTTGTAAAACTTTAAGGCTCTGCTACTCCTTTCTCAGCTGTAGTAGTTTCTGAGTCTCATACTTTACTTTCTTCTTTACTGCCTTTCTTGTAGTAGCTTCTGAATCTCACTGCTCATTCCATCAACTGCTTTAATTCCACCTCCTCCACACACACAACTGGCTATTTTAGTTCTCCAACAGTCCCCTTTCCCTCTTCCACTAACACCCACCCCCTGTGCCTTCAGGGTTTCTCTTTTATCTCCCTGCAGTACAGGTGTGGTCCTTTGCTGTCTTAAAGTGCCAGGGACCACAAATAAAAGAAAACTCACATCAGCAGCCTTGAGTCTTTGCTTCCCTTAGTGGGAAGCAATGGCCTATATTTAATAAGAAACTTGAAAGTAAAACATCCTAGTATGGACCTTCTAACTGATGTTCATGTTCATATAGCCTTTCTCATAGCACAAGATCAAGATACTTGGAAGAAATACAAACTACACGTGTAGTAGCTCCAGCTATGCATCAGATGTAGTCGAAGGATGATTCCAGGCATGTTGGAATAATTCAGAACAAAATGTCATTTACCTGAAGTGGAACAGACAGGTGTAACCCATTCTGATCCAAATCGAAGCCCTCCTTGGAATTCCAGTCCCCAGCCGGTTTTCAGTAGACTACTGATAGGCCATTGCAGCAGCTGCACCAGAAAATGGAAAAAACTGAAAAGATTAGATTCAACATCTGGGAGATCAGTCAAGTCACATGATCCTAAGTTGTCCAGTTGCACTTCTAGGGAAGCCAAGAGATCTTGGAAGATGCCCCACTTTGTTCCTCCTCATTGCTACTTAGTCCACATCAGGAATAGTTATACAAGGATGTTTTGTGAACTATCTTACCTAGCTAGCTGGCCTAAAAACAGATTATGTTTATGGAAAAGAGTAGTGAGTTACTTTTTTACACTTCTGCCTTAATTCCTAATAACTCTGTTTTACCACAATTTAAAAAATGACATCTTTTAGTATGTTTTCTAAAATGTATATGTTTTTATGAAAAAAAAAGAAAAGAAAGATTAAGAAAAGAAGAAATAGAAACAAAAGCAGGAAAAAACATATTACAACAGTTTCTTCAAAAAATATTTAAACCTTAATGGGCTAAGAACTTTGGACATAACATATTAAGAAAATATATGGTTAAAAGGGTTTAAATTTGCATTATAACTTAAGAGAGAATTTTTATAAAATGTTGGTACATGACTCCAGAAAAATTGTCTAGAATGTATAAAGGTACTTCAAATTTATTTTGGAAACATGGGCAACATGAAGGGTCATTTTATCATGCCTGGTGGACTTGTAAAAAATCCAGAAGTTTTTGGGTTCAAATACATACAAATGATACAAAGAATTTTAAAGATCAACATTCAACTGAAATGAAAACTTTTCTTGCTGGGATTAATGGACATTCAGTTAGAAAAGAGCCATGGAAGGTTATTTTTATATATGATTTCTGTTGTGAGACTATTATATGCGCAAATATGGAAAGACTCTGAAATACCCACAGAAGAGGAATGGTTAGTGAAGATGACAGAACTAGCAGAGATGGGAAAATGTACTTCTTTGATTAGAGAAAGATCAATGATTACATTTATTAGTGACTGAAAACCCTTTATGGACTTTTTGCTGAAAAAAGAAAAAAATTAACTTGTGATTTATGGGTTTGAAGATTAGAAAGGGAAACTATGATGTAACCTTACAGAGAGAGAGAAGGTAAAATATAAATGTATCTATAACCACCGTCAAGAAGATCAGAAGCCGCTTCTTTAGAATCTTTCTTTTCCACTTCTTTTTTTAAATGTTCTATTTCTTTTTCTATATTTCTTTTCATTTTGTCATTCTTTTTCTTTAATCTTTTTTAATTCAAAATTTGTGTTTTTAATTCTGTTGAAAATCTTCTTCAATAAAAATTATTTTACAAAAACTTAAACCTTGACCACATGAAATAATATACTTCAGTTTTTCTGTTGTGTTAGTTATGTGCCAGTTCATAAACAGAAAGTCAGAACATACTTGTCATTCAAGACTGCGAATCTAGAATAACTCTGTCTTTGGAATAATTTGAATAATTATCTTCTTTGCTGCCCCCCATGCATGATAATCCATAATTCTTTGTATAATAATAAATTTCTAGATTTTTATATATGATTTACATCTTTAAACAACAACTGTTTTGTTCCACCTCTTGTCATAATTTGAAGCAGCAATATTGTAACCTTTAAATGCTCCCATTTGGACCCTAATCTAAATCATCCAATTCAAACTTTGCTCAGGATGGTTCAGGAATAAATAGGGCTCTGTCTGACTGACTGACTGTCAATTTTTCCTTTTATTAAAAAGTTGTTCTTTACCACTTTTTTCTTTTTCACAGGGATATCTCTTAGTGCACTCCCAATGTATTTGAGTGAAATTTCTCCCAAGCAGATCCGTGGGTCATTAGGACAAATTACAGCAATCTTCATCTGTGTTGGTGTTTTCAGTGGACAGGTTTTGGGGCTACCTGAGATATTTGGAAAGGTCTGTAATATTCTGAATTATTTATTCATTTTTGTACAATGTAAATGGAGATTGACAGCCCATTAAACACATGAAGCATGCCAGATAGTCTTTCTCATATTGCCAAAAGAGAGGTACCATCCAGTAGGACATGATCTCTCTGGTGCCCATGCAATCTCATGTAAATGCGTAGAAGCTGTACAACGCCTGATCAGTTTTGCTGGAGAATTTTTGATAAGATGTTTTATCTTCTAAGATTCACGTTACAAGTTTTTAAAGTTTTAAGAAGTTATCTCCCTTTTACTGTCAGTTTTGAAGAGAGAAAGTAAGGATACAAAATAGATTCATCAGTATTCCTAACTATACAGTTATTCACATCCCCAATTTCAGTATGGCATAACCAGTATACAGTGGGGCAAAAAAGTATTTAGTCAGCCACCAATTGTGCAAGTTCTCCCACTTAAAAAGATGAGAGAGGCCTGTAATTTTCATCATAGGTATACCTCAACTATGAGAGACAAAACCAAATACTTATTTTCCAAAACCTTGTGAAGACTTACAGAAAACGTTTGACCTCTGTCATTGCCAACAAAGGATATATAACAAAGTATTGAGATGAACTTTTGATATTGACCAAATACTTATTTTCCAAAACCTTGTGAAGACTTACAGAAAACGTTTGACCTCTGTCATTGCCAACAAAGGATATATAACAAAGTATTGAGATGAACTTTTGATATTGACCAAATACTTATTTTCCAAAACCTTGTGAAGACTTACAGAAAACGTTTGACCTCTGTCATTGCCAACAAAGGATATATAACAAAGTATTGAGATGAACTTTTGATATTGACCAAATACTTATTTTCCAAAACCTTGTGAAGACTTACAGAAAACGTTTGACCTCTGTCATTGCCAACAAAGGATATATAACAAAGTATTGAGATGAACTTTTGATATTGACCAAATACTTATTTTCCAAAACCTTGTGAAGACTTACAGAAAACGTTTGACCTCTGTCATTGCCAACAAAGGATATATAACAAAGTATTGAGATGAACTTTTGATATTGACCAAATACTTATTTTCCAAAACCTTGTGAAGACTTACAGAAAACGTTTGACCTCTGTCATTGCCAACAAAGGATATATAACAAAGTATTGAGATGAACTTTTGATATTGACCAAATACTTATTTTCCAAAACCTTGTGAAGACTTACAGAAAACGTTTGACCTCTGTCATTGCCAACAAAGGATATATAACAAAGTATTGAGATGAACTTTTGATATTGACCAAATACTTATTTTCCAAAACCTTGTGAAGACTTACAGAAAACGTTTGACCTCTGTCATTGCCAACAAAGGATATATAACAAAGTATTGAGATGAACTTTTGATATTGACCAAATACTTATTTTCCATTTTGTCTCTCATAGTTGAGGTATACCTATGATGAAAATTACAGGCCTCTCTCATCTTTTTAAGTGGGAGAACTTGCACAATTGGTGGCTGACTAAATACTTTTTTGCCCCACTGTATGTGATGCTGGTGATATTCACAATTAAAAGTACTTCATTGTCAGGTTACATAATTGGCATGCTTCTGCCGGTAGAGCATCTGTTCTGTGACTGAACTGTGAATTTTGCCCATGTTTTTAGTATTGCATTTTTACATGAAGTGCAGCAACACCAATATTAACTTTATTGATTGATTACAGGAGTCCCTGTGGCCTTATCTGTTTATAATTATTATTGTCCCTTCAACTCTCCAAATTGGAGTCCTGCCTTTTCTTCCAGAAAGTCCTCGCTTCCTCTTACTTGAAAAATATGACACAAAAGCAGCAGAAAAAGGTATTGTAATGTTCATGTTTCATCTTGATTGATGTTCTTGTCCACCTGGTTTAAAAGCAAAGTTCGCAAGCGCAAATGCCAGTATCGCTGGGGGTGGCAGTTTTCTCTTTAATAGTGAGAATTCAGAACAATGAGGAGCACCACACTGATATTTGGCCTATGAGATGGTTCTCCAAATCTTTTAAGGTTAATAACAACAACAACAACAATATCATGCTCAAAAATTTGTCTTGGTCTGCATAAAGGAAAGGGAGGAGAATCTTTGCATTACAACCTTTTTGCATATTTTCTCTTGCTGGAGACAGCCATTTATCTTGTAATGTCTACAGTATGGTTAAAATGAATGAAATCCTTTGCCATGTAATGAAATAATATTCCATGATATAGTTGTTCTTCTATTGTTTATTTGTTTGATTGATTTCTGTCCCATCCTTCTGCCCAGAGGAAAAACAAACATGGAGTCAATACCATGACTCTTCTTTGCTATTTACTTGAGTAAACCCAAATATTACTGATGAAGCTGACATATTTTTTTGAAATGTCTATTTGTGATACCCTGAAAGAGAGAAATGTTTGGTGCAGATTAAGTATACAATTTGATGTGAATTTTGTATAAATTGTACGAACTGTGGGCTTGCAGCATTTCAGAAATTTCTTGGAAAATCTGATGTGTCACAAGAAATAGAAGAAGTTCTGGAAGAGAGTCAAGTGCAGAGAAACACTCAAGTAGCATCTGTATTTCAACTTTTGCGTGACAACACTAAGCAGTGGCAGATTCTTACTGTGGTTGTAACCATGGCTTGCTATCAACTTTGTGGCCTTAATGCTGTAAGTAATCATATAAACATATCTGTTGATTTAATTATTGTCTTTATAGCCCACCTTTCTTCTAGAATCTCAATAATTTAAAATGGTGCTCCCCTCAACAACAAAACCTGGGAGATCAGTTGGTCAAGAGATATGTGACCTTGCCCGTTCCCACTTTTACTCCCACTCTATAACCACTGCATCACACTGCATGAACACACAATTCCTCACTTATTTCTGCTTGCATTTTTTTCTCTCCCCCTCCCCCTCCTGAAAATACATCATCTGCAGCTCTGCAATTAAAAATATGCTTCTGAGTTCTGTTCTCCTCAAACTTAGCAATTAGACTTTTGTACCATGAATTGGCTAGTAGGACTGTGCATGTTTTAGACTCATGCAGAAACCTACAAAGAGACAGCAGCTGCTTTAAAGAGGTGCTGGGCTCATGCTTCTGTGAGTTCCAAAGCATTTTTTCCAAACTGTTTTGGAAGCATGCACAGTAGGCATTATGCCATACTTGGAGCAGAGCTAACTGTGGAGGGGCTGACCTGCATGAATAGTTCCCCTCCCCTCCCCTCCCCAGGGGTTGTGGCAAATGCAGTCCAGCCATCACAGTGGCCAAAGACAGGGATTGAGACAGGGATTGAAGACAGCTTAATTCTTACGCTAGAGTCCAGGAGCTGAGGGCTGCAGTGCAGAAGAACCTTACAACTTACCCCACTTTATCTTTTTTTCTCCTTGTGTGGTTGTTCAGCTAAATGAAGATAAGGATGACAGAGGTTTTCTCCACACCCCACAAAAAATGTCCTTTATCATGAAGAGAGCATTCACAGCTATTCTGGTCCTTCTCTCTGCCTTTTGGGTGAGAAAACATTAACCCATAGGCATTGGAAAATGGACCATAACAAAAACTCAAGCTGATCTCTCAGGGTGGATATTAAACTGGAAATAGTATTGTTTCTATTCACTTTGGTGCTTTTTAAAGCCAACCCATAATTCTTCTACACTGTCTTCAACATAACCAGATCCAAATGTTTTCAGCATTGTGATGTCCATAGGCTTGGCATTTGGAGCTTGCGGACAACTACTTCGGCTGATCATTGGTCAGTCCAGTAGCTGAACGGAAAGAATCAGAGCTCATTCTTTTGGTTCAAACTTGCTTAGAGCTTCTTATCAATTGGCAAGTAACCCTCCTTCCTCTCTTCATAAAAGAGAAGTGAGTTTCTAGCACCGCCTCTCCCACCCAACATAGAGGCCATGTGTTTTTAACAAACACTTGTTTGTGTATGTTTGTCTGGTGGTTTGCAAAATATTCCTCCAATGAAGCTGCAAGGGGGCAACTGCAAGTTAAAATTTATTTTTGGAACTTATTTGATACACTGAGAAGCCTCAAAAGCCTTCTGTTTACAAGGTGAGAGAAGCATGACAGCTGAGTTACAGTACAGTACTTTTCTCTAGCTGGGCTGCTAGTGAGGAGTAGGAGGGCTAGGAGTGTGGCAAGCAACTCCTCCAGAAGGAAAAGCACAGAATGAATTCACTGGATCTGGGTTTCATCCATATGTGCAGGAGAGAAGAAATGCAAGGAAGAACAGTGAGGAGCATGAGAGTTGAAATTTGTATTCCATCAGCACTAGTTTATTCATTCCACCCATCTCATTGTCATGACTCCCAGAGGTTAGCAACAGTTAAAAACACAACATAACAATAATATAACAAAAATATATAATCAGCAGCCCAGATAAACTGCAAACAATAAAACCAGATCATGGGCTGTATGTTCTGACCCCCAGGCACCATAGCCATGTCTTCATGGCCTTACAAAAGCCATAATCTTCATGGCCTTACAAAAGCCATAATCTAATCTCCATGTAAGAACTGCAGTATTCAGTTCCCAACGAAAGCAACTCTCATTGAAACCAATGCAGGTTCAAAGGAAAGTTCATTT